AGTTAAAGACATGAATGATTTTTATACTGAAGAATAAAAAACAGTAATGAAAGAAGTTAAGATGGATATAAATAAGTGGCAAGATACCTCCTGGTCATGGATTCATAGAACTGACGTCAAAATGTCATTACTACTTAAAGCAATCTATTGCTTTAATTTAATCTCTGTTACAATTTAATTACACTTTTCACAAAATAGGAACAACAGCTCTAAAATTTGTAGACTCGGAAAATATCTTGGGCAGGTAAAACAATCTTAATGATTGTTAATGAGTGAAGGGGTAGATATAACGCTTCCTATGTTGTCTTACAAATAGGCAGTAGTCAAAATAGCATGGCAAGGTCATAATATATATATGCATATATACATAAATATACCTATTTCTCTGTGTGTATGTGTGTGTGTTGAATAGAAGCACCAGACATGAATTTATTCACACATATCCAATCAATTGCTGGCAGTTAATGATAGGAAAAACTTGTTCTTTTTAACAAATTCCATGAGAATATTGTCTCATGCATTTGCACAATATGAAATCAAATTCCTATCTTATGTATGATACAAAAGTCAACATAAACATCATATGTAGAACTATACAGTTCCTCAATTCAAACAGGGAGAGAACATCTTGTATATGGTCCTTGGCAGTGAAGCACACAAAAGGCATTTCTATACAGAAAGCCACAGCAAAAGGCAACAGTCAACTACAGAAGATGTTTACAAGTCAGAAAGATGAAGTGATTTATACTAAAATGTATAAGGGACATATAACACTGAATAAGAAACAAAACCACATAATTTATACTAAATGAATAAGAGGTCTTAAATAAACATTTTTTCTGAAGAAGACTCAACAATTGTCTGTAAGTCGGGATAAAGAACTTAACCTCAGTAATCAGGAGAAAGGAAATCAAAACCTCATACTTGCTAGAATGAACGTTATCAAAAAATTGAAAAAAATAAATATTGATAAAGATAAAGAGAGAGGAAGCACACTATTGCTGAGTAGAGGGGTATTAAAAATTAAAAATGGTAGTCTGGGCATAGTGATATTTATCTTTAATCCCAGCACTCAGTAGGTAGAAGCAGGCAGATTTCTATGAGTTTGAGGCCAGCCTGGTCTACAAAGTGAATTCCAGGACATCTAGAGCCACATAGTGAGACCCTCTCTCAAAAAAAGGGCTAAAATGTGCCACCAAATGATTAGTTATACCAATTTTAGGTCTGCAAAGAACTAAAAACATTATCTTGTAGGGATAACTATGCTTCCATATCCCTTGCAGTATTATTCATACTGACTGTGGTCTGGAAATGAGATTCAGCCAGTGGATAGCTGGATAAAGACGATGTGGATTATACCGACAATATAGTGATAACATCCAATCTTAGAAAAGAAGGAAATCGTTCTATGGATAAAAATGGATGATAGTAATGAAGTAAGCCAGGCTCAGGGCACAAACACTGAATAGTATCTTATTTGTGTGGTTAGTAAGAATGTCTAGTGGTAGAAACAGAGAGCATAGTGTGACTACCAGAAGTGGATGGGATTATGTTGACCAAAGGCTGTAGGCTTCAATTCTGGCGACCTAATTTGTAACATGGTAATTAGGTAAGAATGTGTTATGTATTTGGAATTTGTTAAAAGAGTAGATTCTATTTTCAACACACCACATCAAAGTACCTGTGTGATAACTATGACAATTGATTTTGTGGTAATTATTTTGCAATGTGTGTATCAAGGCATCACTTAGTAGATCTTACACATAAGCAATTCTTGTCGATTATATATCAACAATTCTGGAAGGGTGATGATGATAACCATGGTGATGATGATATTGTTCTCATGCACAGTAGTGTTTGATAGCCCCTGCCTTGCTTTCCTTTAAAACTATTTTTAATTTAAAGAAGATGATACAATTCTTGATGGGTCAGCTGTCCTTATAAGAGGGAATTGTTGGGCTGTTTTTAAGGATCTACATCCACTCAACTGATATAAATCCACTTAGACACAAGTAGCCTTAGGAAAATCCAAAGTTGGAGCTAATTGGGTTGTATTGTATATAAGATATTCAGATGAGGTATTGAAAACAAGACTTCAGAGTTTACCAAGGATACTAAAACTGGAGGCTGAACAAATAATGAGGAATGAAACAATCAGACTCAAAAGGATTTGGATTGTATAAGTAATTGGATCAGCAGATGGCAAACGCAGTTTGGTACAGGAAAATGTAAAATAGACTTGAAGCAAAAGAAACAAACTAGAGAATGTGTGCTAAATGGAACAATCATCCAGAATGCTGACCAGGAAATGGAAGGGAGGGGCCGTCATAAAACAGAAATCACAGCGGCTCTTTGCTTGTGGCCAATTCTGTTGCTTTACAAGCCTATCAGAAAGGATGCACATGTGTATTATCTACGCTGGGAACTGACTCTACCCTATGGGAACTGGCAGGGTCTTGAAATTTTCAATCATCTCACTTCCCAGTTTCTAAAGACACCTTTCAGAAAGCATTGTAATGTTTTCCTTATTTCTTATGCTCATTTTTCTTCTTTGTTTAGGCTCACGCACACAACTCTATAATCACCCTTCTCGGACATTGCTGGGAAGATCCAGAACAATGTTTTCAGGTTACTTGCTAATTACTCCATATTTCACCTTGTCAGAAGATTCTCAAGAGGGACCACTTAAGGGTGTCATTCCCCATTTGCCCCATTCCCTGAAGATGCAATGTGCTTTTGCAAGGGTTGGAAATCAACTGTTTGGTTCTGGGGAATACTTTGGAATTACAAAGTAAGGGGTATGTGTGTGTGTGAGAGTGTGTGTGTGTGTGTGTGGGGGGTATCTGGGAAGTCTGTTTTATAAGGGAAATATCTAAATATCTTCTCCAAAGACTGACACAGTCCTGCCAAGGAAGGACTGACAACTGACATCTGTAGGAAGTTCAGTGACGGATCTGCTGGAGGTCAACCTTGAGATACATTTTGAAACCCAAGTGAGTGAAGAGAAAAGAGCAGAAAGAACAATCCTTGTTCTTCACACTGACTGATTCGCTGCCACAGTCACATGACTCAGGTCACCGAGTATCTGGAAAATGACTATAGTAACTTCCAATGCACTTGTCAGAGGAACAAATGAAATAACACTGAAATTTTATTACATACAAGTATCAGCTAAGATGCTGGGTGGTGGTGGTGCATGCCTTTTGTCCCAGCACTCAGGAAGGTAGAGGCAGGTGGATCTCTGTGAGTTTGAGGCCTGCCTTGTCCACAAAGTGAGTTACAGGACAGCCAGAGCTACACAGAGAAACTCTGTCTCAAAAAAAAAAAAAAAAAAAAAAAACCCAAATTAGCCAGTGAACTGCTTTGCTCCTGCAATAATATGCTTTTAAATGAATGACTGAGTCAGCCATGGACAGTCAGCCAGAGCCAGTGTGTTTCCTTTTCATCTGCTGCCCCGAGACCTCTCACCCGGAGCTGATCTGTGTAACCAAGTAGGGACTGAATGTAGTAGGTGTTTTCTTTTCTGTATTTTGAAAATGTGCTAACAGAAGGTTACTAAGTGTGTCCCCCATGGTTTTGTTACTCCCAGGGAGCAACATTTTGAATAGCAGTCTTCAATGTTTAGATCTAGTTGCATAGTCTATGGTGACCGATACCCAACTCCAGCTTTTGTTGCGGAGAATGAAAATGACTTCCCCTGGCCTGGCAAGAATCACCCTTTCATCACCAACTACCGAGGTCTGTTTTTCATGTGCAGAAAGTAGCAGTGGCGTCTGTTTACAAATCATGACTAAGTCCATAGAGCAAAGTAACCTGTGAAATCAATTCATCTTGAGAATATGTGAAAATGGCCGTGGTTCTTTGTGTATTTAAATTCTGTATTAGTCCGGCAGTCTCATCTGAGTGTGACAGTTGGGTGAATTGAATTAAACAAGGAAAAAGCCCCAAACAAAAGGAGGCAGCTAGCTGGAGGCATCCAAAGACACGGAGCTCTGGACTGAGATTCACCAGAACCTCGGCAGTACACGTGCTCCTGTGGACATGGCTACCATGTAATTAGCTGAGAAGTAAGTTAGGTGTTTAAAAATATTTTTTTCAGGTGCTTTTTTGTATTCATGATAGATTCCCAACACCAAAAATCAATCTCAATCAAAGCAGCAACTGAATTTATCATAAATTATCATGGAAAGGTTTTCTACTGAGTAGATGGTTAATTACTATCTAATTTGAATATTTTTGCATATTAATGAGAAATGGATGAAAATCATTTTTAGATTCTTAACTTCAGCTGAGAAACCCATGGAGATAATGGCTCCTTTTAAAAGACATGTGATTTTTGTTACTAAAGGAGATGCTGATTTATTTTTTTTTCAAAATTGTTGACTTGTTTTAAGTTGATGAATGGATTAGTATTTTGCCATTAATATATTATATCCAAATGAAAGACAACTCCATTACTTGACACTGTAGCCCCTAGATATCTGTGAGGTAAGAAAAATGAAAACTAGATGAAGAATGTGCTAAGAAAGGGTCTAACTTTGCTCTGTCCCTCATAGCTTCTAGATGCAGACATTTGTGCTTTCAGTTATGAATGTGTTTTTATGTCTTGTACTTTTTGCTACATAAAGTTCTATGTATATTTGTTTACAAGAGACATTTATATCTAGAATATGCATATGGAGCTGAAGGAAGAGATATATTCTTAAAATTATTACTGTAGTCTACAAATTGAAAAAGTGACCCGCAATTGCTACAAGCTTCAGAAATTGTTGCTAGCCACAAGTCAAAAGTCACTTTTAGAAAGTGCCCTCTAACTATTTCTTGACATTGCAAATAAAGGACAATATTTCTTATATTTTTAGGCACTTAGAGAAAAATAATTCAAAGAACAAATATTTCTCTTCTTCCCATTCCCCCTCCTTCATCTTTTATTTCATATGTAAACCCATCTGTGACATACGTTTAAGAATTTTTTCTGTTTTCTCTTTGGGCAGAATCTGTAGCTACCAATGATTCCATGAATCCAGTTGACATTATCCAAAATTCATTGCAGACAAATGAATACCAGTCATGATGAATGAAATTGCATAAGAATTTTTGTATTTTTGAACTAAAACTTCATCCCAGGTGGGTAATATAAACAAAGCATTGGTTCTCATAGGCCAATACCATCTTAGCACAATGCTGGTTTTTAAAAGGTCTCAAAATATTAGAATGTTCTTAAAAGTGTATTGTTCAGTATTGTATTTTACTGTGGAGAATCAGAATTGGATTGGTACATGGAACTTTATTTAGGCCCACAGACTTGCAGGCATGATCGTAGAGTTCAATGGATACCTGTGAATTATTTTGCTCCATAGAAAAGGAGGAAAGAGTTTTCTCTCTGAGTCGGAAGAGCATGTCATTTACAAAAACCTGAACATCCAAGCTAGCACATAGCAGATAAGGAAAGGAGTCCCAACCCTATTCAGTCACTTCATCTATCGTCACGGTCAGGACCTTTTGGATCAGAAAGTGAGAGGAATTTTCCAACCCAAGAGTGGTAGACTCTGAAAGTGGCAATGATAGCACATCTTTCTGAGGAAAAGTCTGTAAAAGAGGCAAGCCATTTAAAAAAGAACTAAAAACCTTGATGTTTCCAATTGAGCCATATGCCAGGGTAACTCTCAGGATAAGAAATGAACTATATTTTTTATGCACAAAGTGGGATTTAAAAAAAAAAGTAATCAAGAGAGTGGCATTAGCATGAGCTGTCCACTCCCCCTCTCCTCCTTCTGGTCGCTTCCAGTCTCTTTTGCCAAAGAACTGAGAATGAATTTTTGAGAGCCAAGGATATGGAAAGGAAGACAAAATAAAGCTGGGAGAATTTTGGCGGAACTACATGCTTAACATACTGTACCACTTCTTTAATATATCTCAATAGTCCTGTGTCATCAGTTGGTAGTTTTCCTTTTCGGCAATTAACAATATATTTTGTTTTTCCCTAATTAAGCTTAACACGATGGTATTAATTACTGCTGGGTAGTTGAAATCTGTTGGGCTAATTTTCAGCTTTAGCTAATGAAACTTAGTCTATACTCACCATTGAAATTATCAACCTTAGTACATTATATTTCTTTCTATATCTTCTACATTATATACAGTGTGGTTATAAGGTGTAGTTGTTATATAAGATAAGCCTTTTTGTGTGACTCATGAGTCTTTTCCAATAAGTTCTTTCCTGTGTGGAAAGTTATAGATTTCATATAAATTATGGAGGTTGCAAATGTATCTAAAGACTTCCAAAGCCATCCCTCTCCTGGCTTTTAAATGAAGCTATCTGAACATATATTTCACTTGTCAAAAGGATAATGTGGAAATTGTCTCTATATTAGGAAATTTAATATGTTTGCATAAAATAATTCAGAAGTATTTAGATACTATTATTCAAAGCTAAGTGTTTCGGAGTTGTAGCTCTAAAATAAGAAAGTAACCCAAAGCAAAAGCATACATCCAGATCTGATATCAGATTTTAGAGAAGAACACACACACACATACAATCATGCATGCACACACACACACACACACACACACACACACACACACACACACAAATAGAAGAAATTCCACATACATGATGAGGTATATGAGCAGGTGTTATCTTTTTTTGCAGATAAGAATTTTAAGGATATTAAGTGAGGGATCAGGTTGCTCTGTGAATCATTTACGTAAGTGTATAGCCCCACTTTGTGTTCCTGAGAGTATAAAAGGAAAACTGGAGGCAGGAGAGGAGTAGTCGGTCTACTGAAGGAAAGAACGTGATCAGTATAATTCCAAGCTCTTTTCTCAGCATGTGTTTTCAGATTCGAACAAATTCTCCACAGTATTGTTGTTATTTTCTTTCTCCAATTTATCCAATTACCTGGATTACTCGTTGATACTAGGCACAAAAGGATCCTCTGATCCTGCCTTGGCAGCAGTGGCTGTGCTCCTAATGTGACCCGAAAAAGTTGCTCTATAGTGCCCTGGAGAGTCTACATTGCCTGTGCTGTTCCCATGCTCTTAATTTCCTAAACCTTCCCCATTGTACTGTACCGTGTTCAGTGTGTCATCACAACAGCCTAAATCAAGCAGGCACCACTGAGATTCTAATTTTACCAAAGAAGAAACAAAAGATAAGAAAATTCAGGTGACTTTGCCAAGTCTAGGAACTAGAATCTGTGGTCATGGGTCCTCTTTCAAAGACAGAGCAGTTCACTTGTACCCGACTGATCTCACATCCCTTATCCATGAACTATGACACTTTGGACACAGTACTTAATTATTTAAACATTTATTTTCTCTCCCTTTGTCGGATAGGTCTAGTGACTATAAGTTATTTTTTATTAAAATATATGACAAATACTGAATATATAAAACACCTTTAATACAGCGCTGTTAGTGCAATTATCAGCCTTGGGCTAAGGAGGGTGGATTGATTCTTCTTATTGTTTTTATTGAGCTATATACATTTTCGCCCATTCCTCTCTCCCCTTCTACTCTCTCCTGGGACCCCCATGCTCTCAATTCACTCAGGAGATCTTGCCTTTTTCATCTTCCTATGTAGATACATGTATGTCTCTATTAGGGTTCTCTGTGTTGTACAGTTTCTCTGGGGTTGTGGCCTGTAGGCTAGTTTTTCTTTGCTTTTTGTCTAAAAGCCTCTTATGAGTGAATACATATTGCATTTGTTATTCTGGGTCTGGGTTAGCTCACTCAATATGGTGTTTTCTAGATCCATCCATTTGCTTGCAAATTTCAAGATGTCATTATTTTTTTACCACTGTGTAGTAAGTAAGTTCTCCATTTTGTAAATGTACCACGTTTTCTTTATCTATTCTTCAGTTGAGGGGCATCTAGGCTGTTTCCAGGTTCTGGTTATGATAAATAATGCTGCTATGAACATAGTTGAGCACATGTCCTTGTGGTATGATGGAGCATCTTTTGAATATATACCCAACAACAATATTGCTGGGTCTTGAGGTAGATTGTTTCCTAATTTTCTGAGAAGTTTCCATACTGGTTTCCAGAGTGATTGTACAAATTTGCTCTCCCACTAGCCATGGAGGAACATTTCCCTTACCCCACATCCTCTCCAGCATAAGCTGTCATCATTGTTTTTGGTCTTGGCCATTCTGACAAGTGTAAACTGGAATCTGAAAGTTGTCTTAATTTGCATTTCTCTGATGGCTAAGGATGTTGAACAGTTCCTTAAGTGTCTTTCATCCTTTTGAGATTTGTCTGTTGAGAGTTCTCTGTCTGGAATTAGGACCATATGCTTACAGAGCTATGCATCTATAGGATGGTCTTAAGTTAAAAAAAAAAAAGGTTCAGGTTCAGGAATTGCTTGCATCACCTGGTGAAGAGATTGTTGATGATTAAATCCATGAACACAGATTGCCACTTTATAAGGAATCAGCCAGCAATGAATGCTGACCAGAAGTCTCGTCTACTAGTCACTCATTCTATCTTGGAAAGAAAGACTTGGGTACAACAGAATGCTTTAGAGATGAACTTTCCACAATATTTTAGCATTCCAGTGAAGACAAATGCATTTATTTCTTTTCTATAGTTCAGTCTTTTCACTAAGTCTTAGTAATTTGGTAATAGAATAAAAGAAAATTTGGTTCATTAATGGTAAATCCCAGGCTGGGGTAGTTTTATGCCTTATCTTTATGGACAAAAGTAACAGAATTGTTATTTGTTAGGTTGTATGTGCTTCCATGTTTACAGAATATTTTTACCTTTATGTGGACACCATGTGGTGAATTACAATACTTATTATAATTACAAGTGCTTAAATTATTTTTTTAAAATTTTTAGTATATTTCAACTAGACTGTGTTGTTTGATATTTTTATTTTAAGTAACTATTCCTATTCAGAGCTATAAATGTTGAAAAATGGTAACTTTATTATTCTATTTCTGATTTTGTGCTTTGGATGTAAATATATATTATGGACAGCTCATTTTACAATGTGGTTCTTTATCAGCACAATGCAAATAGCTCTGCAAACTTGTATCATTTTTCTGTGAAGATCTTGAAATAAAAATAATCAACAGTAAATACCCAAACTACAGCTGCAGTTTTAAATATTTTATAATCCAATCAAATTGTTTGAGTAGTAATGCATTTAAATGTTGTTATGGAATCCCCTCCAGACGTTTTAAAATGGTTACTCTCTTCTTCGCCTTGCTAGTTCTGAATTTCATAAGGGGTGACAGTTTTTAATAATGGAGCATTTGACTTAGAGAGCAGTGTTTCTTTTTGCATCTCAATATGATCTATAATTTTCTGGCTTGACTTTCAGAGGGACACAACTACAAATTATCTTTTATTAATGAACATATATGCATTTGTTGTCACTGCTGTAATTAAAATGATCTTAAATGAGACGTTTCACCTGAGTTATTTAGCATCTTTTTAGGTATTTAGAAGAAGTAATTTTGCCTTATGTGAAAATACATCAGGCTGGAATTCAGTGCAAAAAGTACTTTTATTAAAACCTCAATGTAGATACCACCCTTTAATTAAATATATTGTGATATTTGAGGCCAGGTCTAGGATTAGATATAGTTTAAATTATTTTTAAATCATATGGGCTAAAAATTGAGTTGGGAAAGGTTCTTATGACAAAGCTAATATTAACTGAAGGCTTGCGATGGGTTGTGTTCTGGCTTAAAACACATTTCACAACTCATGCCACAGTTTATAATATAATTTCCACTTTTAAAATGAAGAATCTAAGACAAATAGAGGTTGAGGACCACAAATACCAATCCCTGAAGTCTGGGCTTTGTGTCCTTAGCACCTCACACATGGCAGGTGCTAGCATATATCTATGTAAGAGCACAAACCCATCTAACGGAACCAAAGGGCAAAATACATTCACTTCTAAATCAAATTATCTTAACTATTTGAGGCATGAATAGTCCATAATATGGCTTTCTTATTTTAAAATATTAGTTTTATTCATCTCTTTAATGTGTTTTATTGATCTAAAGCATTATTTAAACAATGTTGTGTTTGGCTTAGAATAAAAAAGAAAATGGTCATCACCACATCTCCTTGTTGACATTCGTGATTATTTGCTTACACTTTAGCACTACTCCTCCAGTTAATGACAGAGTATGTTCACATATATGTACTGTTAGACAATGCTAGAAAGTACTTTCATCTTTGAACTAAAATATAATACAGAAAGTGTGTTTGAAAGAAAATAGAGGAGAAGAAAGAATAATGAGGATTTATGTAACTGGATCTTACTGAGAGCAAGATGAGACAAACATGGAATTTATAGTTTGGTAGCTTGTTGTGAGAAATCCAGTTTGATATCTTAATATTCTGTGTGTGCTCTGATCTGTCACATGATTCAAAGAGCAGGCTCGAGTTGTGAAAATAACTTATTCTCATAAGCTAAGATCACAGAATAAACATACATCAAATGAAAAATACACAGACATGAATTGTAACGTGACAGTATGCAACAAATGCCAGAGCTCTTTGGGTGCAGTACAATGTGAGTTAGAAGGAGGGGAGGACTGAAAGCCAAGAAGAGGTTTATTAGCTTCCTCCTCTTAGCCAACTTATTTCCCCTGTAATTTATCAGGAAGATAAACTTTTCACTGAAAATGGAAAAAGAAGATATAAATGTGTTGGATTAGTTCTTTCAAATAAGAAAATTTTCTATAATAACTGTTAGACAATGAGAAATTTTGAAACCACTTTTAGGATGTATCACAAGGGAAAGAAAAAGCTAAACATTTTTATGAACTGGTATTTGTTTTTAAATAATGTAATTTACAAACTTTTGAGAATTTATTTATTATTTAAGGTTGGGTGCTCCACAGGTTTTTGTTCTTATCACATTGACCCATTGGGGAATCTCTTTTTTAATTGCCACCTGATTCAAGGATAAGCTACCCTGTTGAGGGCTGATCAATGAATATAACAATAAGTCATTAGGAGTTGTTTTATGACATTTTTTCAGAATGATAGAAGTAGTTTCTCCCCCTAAGTCATTTGACCTGTTTGCTACAGGTTATTACTTCTGTTAACAGTGCCACATATAGGTTCTGTTTCATGGAGTGTGCATAGGTCCAATCAGAAAATGGTTGGTTACTATGATAACATTCTTGTCACTACTGCACCATTGGGTGAACATATCTTGTCAGGCTAGTCATATTTAACATCATTTAACCTTTATGTAATGTCTATAAAAATACATGTTTTTAATCAGTTGAGTCCTAAAAACTCATGAGTTTCAATTAACTGAAAATAGATAGTAAGGCAAGGTCTTACCATCTATTAGTTAAGTTTTCTTAGCTGGTCACTTGGTAATGGCCAAATATCTATCAAACTACGCAATGGGTGGCTTAAAAAACAAAAGCACTCTTTGTAGTTCTAGAGGCTGGACAGTCCTAACTGGGGACTGACAGGCTTGGTGTCTGGTGAGCTCTTACTTTCTAGTTCATAAATGCATGTTTTCTTGTAGGACTTTCATGGAAGAGAGTAAGAGGTCTATGTAATCCCTTTTAGATGGGTACTAATCACATTTATGAAAGCTTCATTCTCATGGTCATGTCCCAGTGGTCCTATCTCATACTATTAGCACATTAGGGGCTAGGATTTAAACATATGAATTTTGGGAAGACATAAAGGTTTAACTCGTAATACTCCATAAAAATAAATGCATTTCCCTCTTGATCTAAAGCAATTAAAATGATTGAATTCTTCGTTTTTCTCTGAATATCTCTGCATAAGCTATTTGACGATCAGAAAGTATTCTTGTAATAAAAGTCATTTTTTAAGTGAAACAAGAACATTTCCCTAAACCACAGGAACCCTTTCTTTGGAACTTGTGCTGAAAAAGAGATTCCCAACTCTTCTGAATTCCTCTCTGTTTCATGTTAGCTTTCTCCATGTTTATAGGCCACTCTTTTCATCTGCATTACTTCATGTATTCGCTCTGTTCTCAAGTTTTGACCCTTAGTGCTTCCTCATGGAAATTATCCATGCCCATCCCTGTGACGGACTATAACCCAAATTCCAGTTGACACCTGAGTCTTTTTATGCATGTGCTTTTCCCTTATACTGACAGGCTTCACGCTGTGCCATCCACTCAATGTACAGCCCCAGATGTCTGACTTATTTAGGTAATATACATGGTTTGTTCATTGTAGATCTAGACCACATTTTTGTTTTGTTTTGCTTTTATTTTCAAAAAAAGGCCTCACCTAACTCCTTTTACTAGTTCATCTTGTATACCAATGAGATCTCAGAAACTTGGATGAAAATTTGATGTGGAAACTACTTATTGTTCATGAAAGTCAGTTACTATTAGAAACTAGTAAACAATGTTCACATTCTTTTCTTTCTTTTGTATGTAAATTTGCTGTTATATATGCTTAGATAAATTTCGGTTTTAATTTTTTTTCATAGTTAGCAAATTTGTACTTAGGACTTGCTAGGTGTTGTTCTCTATGGGGAAAAGTATGTCACTTCCAGTGAGTAGACAGTCTTTCTGATAACAGGTAAGTTGATGGAGTGTGTTACTTCCCTGGGTCCTAAGATGAGCAATAGCAGCATCTGTTCCCCCTGGAATAACTAGATTTGCTGTGACTTGACTTTCATATTTGAGACCAGTTTATCCGTGTTAAGGAATCATAAAATATCTGATTATGTCCTTGTGTGTATGTGATTGTCAGTGTAAATAATCTATGTTTAGTGATGCATATATGCTCAATGAGTGTTCCTGCTGAGTTTCTCTGTATCTTGAACATGTCACTTTCTTACTTCCCAGTTTTGGCTTCTTTCAGCAATTCACAGCGACTGTGTAGGGTGAAAGCAAACATGGAGACTAGCTGAGTAGCTAGACAGCAGATTCCCTTGGAGTTGCTGAGACCGCCATGACAGTGGATGAGGGCTATTCAGAGCTAATCTTTGCAGCTACGAGAATGCATCACCATCTGGATGTCTACCCCGCTTAGAAATCTACATTCTTAGACCGAGTACAGAAATTTAGCTAATTTGAGAAGGTAAGAGTTATTGTATTGCTAAGCATGTATTCCATTAAACACTACTCTTAAAAACATTATGAATAAGCAAAATGTCTAGGGCCGTATATTGAATACTTTGGGATGTACTAGCAGAGAAATCCTTTATTTACTATTTTATTTGCTTATTTTAATAATATTTTTCATTCTTTGAAAATTCTACACATTTATATAATGTATATTGACAATTATCCATTCACTTCTCCCTGGACAATAATCCTATCTCTCCTAACTTCACGCCTTTTTAAAAATTTCTTTTATTATCAATAACTCTGAGTCTATTTAGTGCTGCCCATGTGTACACGAGTATGTGGATGTCTGATGAAGCATGAGAAATATAACACTGGCCACATCCCCAAAGGAGAGTCACCATCCCTCCCTCAGGAGCCATTGACTACCAAGAACTCTTTTGATTGGGGTGGGCCTCAGGAATACCTCTCTATGTTTGAATTTTAACTGCCTTTATTTTATGCAGGTAACCACAAATATTGTGAGCTGATATATGTAACAGTCACGTTATGTAAAATGGTCCATCTCAAAGCACCACTCCCCACCCTTTTTTCTGTATCCTCTTCTTGTGGTTTTCTCTGAGCCTTTGACATTGGAAGTTGATGAAGATGATCTGGCCACCGCTGAACACTCAGAGTTGTTTACAGTCAGCACTTTAACCAGCTGTGAGTCTCTGCAGTAACCACTGCTCACTGAAAAAAGGCGCTTCACTGATCAAACATAAGAGCCACACAAATCTATGGGCAACACTTTAAATATTTAGAGTGCAGTTTAGCAGTCTAAGTATTTAGAAAAATTAACCAGAGTAAGTTACCACCCCAGAGCCACGATCTTCCCAGCCAAAGGCTTTTGACCAGATGTCCAATGCCAGGTCTGAAATTCTCTCACATAGAAAAGGTCGCATATCCAATCAGGAAGCAGTTTGTTGCTTCCACAGCTCTCATACCTCTATTTTACTGGTGAGCACATCTTGCTAGCAGGTAAGTGTTGCAGCATCCAGGGTCCAGCACTCTGTAAAGCCACTGCTGTCTTTTCCCTGTCAGCAACCTGCATAGTGTCTTCTGGCACGAGGCAGGTTCTATTCATCAAGGAGAGAATTTCCTGGCCGTTTTGAAGCTGATTTCTCAATGTCTGCTAGCAGCAAAGCTTTGAGTTGTACTGTTTTCTTTACTGTAAAGCTTCTCAAGACTTTTAGCTAATATTAAATGTGATTTTCTACCAAATGACTATAAAGTTTTATTTTTCCAGACTGTGCTTGACTATAGAACTTATCCCCCTTTTCTCCTTTTTACCTTATTTTCTTAAAGTATCTCTCATGACATGTCTTTATACACATATAGTTCGGGAAACTCTGAGAGACAGGAGCACAGAAACTATATGATCTATAATGTAGAATATATCCAAGAATTTCAATCCAAACTATGTTATTAATATTATGAAAAATTAATGGCTGTTGAGTTAATGCTATGCTATCATACTTTTCATTGCTACAAAACAAAATAAATCCAAAACAGACCACTTTCCAAAAAAGCCCTAGAGAAACCAAGTTTGCCCTGCCTGCTTCTCACTTGTTCTTAGGGGCAAATTTAGTACGACATCTCTGCTGTTTTCAGCTACTAAAGATCTAAAAATCAGTTTTCAGAGTTTCTTTCTCAAGTTTGCATTAACCTTTGAGGAGCAAGAGCATGGCACCCACCAAGAGCTCTCTTGGGGGCTCATTCAAAGTCATCTTTTCTTTTCTTTTCTTTTCTTTTTTACAGGGAAGAATTAGAAATTTACAGAAAACTCAACCGTCAAAACCACAACCACCAAGGTAATTGAACAGCAGTGTGTATTAGATGGTAGTAAATGCTTATCTCTGTTTTCTCTAGTCACATAGTTGGGAGCATAAAAGAGACTCAGAGAACTTACACAAATGATCAAAAGTCAAATAATTAGCAAACAGAGGTGCCAAAGAACAAATACAGGTGGATTGGTCACGAAAGCCACAGGCTTTGTTATGATCTACTGTCTCCCCATCTACAGAGACTGTCTTTCATGTGCTGCTCCCAGGGCATGAAAGGACCAGGGTGCCAAAGTGTCATCTGCTCGCTTTCCCTGTACCTAAGAATTAGGTATTGTACTTTTGAATCATCATTCGGAAGAGAATTCCACTGGGAAGTCAGTACCCGTACCCCAGTCACTCTGCTCGGATGCACTGTCCTCAGAGACGAACCTCCTATGTGTGGAAATGACCACGGAGAACAGATTCTTTCTGTAACGTACAAAAATCGTGGCCGCATTTCTTGGAGAAAGTAGATCAAAGCTAGAGTCTCTCTATGATTGTTTCTGCTCATCTGCTTGTAAGCTTGTTTTCAGCCCCCCTTCCAAGGTTCAAATACTATCGATTTACTTTACTTATGATGCTAATTATGAATGGTTTGTCATTTTAGTCTGGAATAAAACTTCGCAGTTCTTTTATAAGTGGACTTTGTGGGTGAAATATTTTCTTCTTACTTCCCCATATCCCTAAATTAACAGTACCAATAGTGTTTTCTTTGCACAAGGCTTCTGAGAAAGTCTGAACAAAGACAGCTGCCAGCAAAGGACAAAGGCCCAGATGAAACTATTCAGTGGGTCAATAATTTAACAGATTCAGAAAGTGTGCAGTATCAGTTCTCACACAAATCTCTAAGATAGATTTCTTCATTAAAAATCTATTAAGGGGTAGAAGGAATTTATTAAACAAATTATTAATATTTCAGGTCACTGCTAACTAGCAAATTAAAAGAAAGATAAAATAGGAAAAGGAAAATATACTTCACGATTAAAAATGAATTTCTACTTCACAGTGGATTTTATCAAAGGCTAATTATATCTCAAACATTTCAGTTTAGGAATTTGATTTTTTTTCTCATTTTCTGAATTATGAGTTAACAAGTGGTCTATGCCTTGTTGTTGTTAAGTCCAGTCATGTTTTCTCTTTGTTAAAAATAAAGCACACATATGTTACTTACATCAACTACATATATTGAATATTTTTCCTCACAGTATAAATCAGTGCAATGATAGCAAAAAAAAAGAAAAATACACATATTTTTCTTTCGCATATAACCATGTCATGACCCCCAATGATCTGTTTGCTCTGGGTGTTTGAGTTTGTAATTGTAAAGGGAGCTCTGTATCTTTAAACAGTACCACTGAAAGTGCCGTGTGTGCGGCAGTTTCCAAGTTTGTAAGTTGTGCTTGCTTTATGGGAAGTCAAAAAGACTTAGATTGTAAACTTCAAGTTACAACTTCATCAAAAACAGCTCTGAAAAACTATTCTTTATTCTTTTTATTTCAGTGAAATATTTGGTTCAATTAACTAAACCCCTATTAAATGGCATTTAGAACACACTCTGTAGAACTTATGACAGTGCGATGTTATGAAAGCTTCTAAAGGTTTTATTAAGAGGCTGTCATTTGTCATTTGAATCCAGACACTTTTGAAGGATTGCTTATATATTCTGAAATAATGAAACTCGTTTTGGTTTTTAATGACCTAGCCATGCATGCATGCCTGCGTCTATCAAATATTTCTCGATCATACTTTTTGTTAAAATATGGCAAGTCTCTTGAGCGGGAAACTATACAAAATTGGGACTATCCTAAAAAATGGACAGATTACTCAAGAGTCTAGATGGTCACAGTAGCTTGTTTTTTTAATTTGGTCAGTTGTATAATTAATAATATTTGACAGAAAATAATCTGTAGCAAAGGTTGAAATTTTAAGAAGCAGTGAAGCATGCTGAAGGCACCAGACACCATTGATATGTAAACTCCCCAATGCAAACAAAATAGTTCTATCACAGAATTACATGGGACAGAGGACTCCATTCTCAAGAGCCCTTTAGTTCCAAACTGTACCATGAGAGGTCTGATTTCATAGACTTCTTCAGCTCCACTTCCATCAGTTCCTCTTGGTATCATCATGTGAATCTTTTGGGTGCTCTCTTCTATATTACCAACTCTTAGAGAATTTTGGGGACCTACATTGATAAAATTGTTTTGTGTGCTTTCTTACTGTGGCCCCAATCTGCTAGACTTGCCCTGTTACCAACAGCATCATACAGAAAATGAGACTCTGGAGAGAGTACTAACTACTCAAGAAGAATGAGGAAGGCTTGCTAAAGGAAAAGACTTTAAGCTTGGCTCTTAAAGAATGTGTGCTTGGGAGGTTGGTACATTGAGGAGCTTGGTGGAGAACATAGATGGTATCTCAACCACAGACCTGAGAGATGTTGACTCAGCCTGGGGCTTCAGAACAGACTAGCTTGGTTTGTAGGAAGCCATGGTTCATGAATGTACAGGGTGAATCATGACAACATTTCTTTGAAATGTATCTCCTGAAATGCAGGAGATACAGTGGGTTGGTGCTTAGAAATAGAAAACTGTTGACAGTCACAAGCATGTTCCATTGTAGGCTTGTGATGATAACTTTTCAAAGATGTTCATGGAGAACTGATGCATTAAATGGGGAGTAGACAAAATCTAAAGGTCTCTTCCATTCATGAGTTCAAAAAGTACAGTTGAATACTGGACTCTGAAATCACAACATCCGATGTATTTTGGTTCTATGATTACTTACTTTGACCTTGAGTAAGTGAGCCCTACAAGCATTCCAGGAATTACTAATCCTTTAAAAAGGAATAATATTTTAGCATGTTAGTGGGAGATTTCAATAGGAAGCACACATGAAGCCCTTGACACAGAGTATCACAGGAAAACTCCAATAAATGCTTGTTTATACTGCTTAATTTCTTGACATGGCAATAATAAAAGAAGGAAGAACAAATATGTTTGGTGGGGAAAATAGGGCTGAAGTGGTAGTTTTACTGCTGGGAACTCGTTAGCTATAGGTGGGTGTCGGACAGAGAACCCAGAGGAATGAACCTGTTCAGAACCTCAGAACGTTAGGAGAAGCGGCTATTCCAAATTAGAAAGGGAGGCTCCCTCTTCCTGAAAAAGACTTTCCTGAATTTTCTTTTCGGAGTTGACATAAGCTTTTAAAACTTAAATTTATGAACCAAAATATATTTTTCTGAACAAAATTATTTTTAAATTGTCTGCTTCTAATTTGAGGAAGGAAAAAGTTTGACTTTTTTCCAGTGAGGTAAAAATCTTAGATAAGCTTCTGATCTTTCCAACAGTCCTAGGGCCTCTGAAGTAGGCTGCCGAACTTGGAGCAACAGCATAGACTAGTGGCAGGAAGGAAGATTGTAACAGGGAGGTATGGATACCAATGTCTGGAATCCATCCTGGATTTTAAGATATAGCTAGAATCGCAGATAGCTGTAACAACAGACTATTAAATAAAACTTGTTTAAGGTGTGAAAATTTTAGTAGTACAAATCTTGCTTATTGATGGTTAGAATGTTTGAAAAAAATGCAGTTTCCTTTTTCATTTGTCCACTGAACTAAGTGCCTTAACAATGACAAGGATCGTGTTCTCAAATGTACTCCTTCCGTCTAACTGAAGAGTGTAGCTGGCTTAAAGGGATCAATGCTTTCATAGCATGACGAAAAAAATATAAGACTTTCTTTCGCTGAATTTCTATATCCGTATAAGAACAACACATAAATCAATAATCAAGTACATATACTCTAGGCACTAAGGAAAGAAATGAAATTAACTTAAATTTACATCCTGAATTTATAATTAATAATTAAATATTCATACAATTTATACAGTATCTACAGATGAATATTGTATTACACATCCAGAGAAAAACTGGAAAAGATGAACAGGTTAACTAAACTCCTTTGGGGTAAACATCTGTGCAGGATTCAGAGCTCAGAGGACTGCCAAGAGGAGGATGCACATCCAATAGGTACCTTAACAAATGCGTTCATGGAAGTAAATTAATTTCCTAGAACTCGTGGTTGAAGATAACTACTGTTTTCTGTTTCTGATGGTTGTCCTAGGGCTATAATTTGGAAAGCATCTCCATTATGAGGCTGTCACTAATGTCTCTCAGGGAGGTACAGTCAGTGCCAAAGTACTTCCTTTGGCCTTGAGGCCTCAGAAAGTGGTTCTTCCTTTGAGTGAGTTTAGGTTTCCTTATGTCACAGTGGTTTTAGACTTCTTTTTTTAAAGATTTTATTTTAGTTTTTGAAATTTGTGTGTGTGTGTGTGTGTGTGTGTGTGTGTGTGAGAGAGAGAGAGAGAGAGAGAGAGAGAGAGAGAGAGAGAGAGAGAG